TGTCGAACATGGTTGATAGGGTCAAAACATGAGTCGACGAGCGTTGATTGATACATAAGTCGGCAGGGTTTATCAAGTCGACCAGGGTCGATACAGATATTAAAAACAACTTGAATGCGAGGTCTAAAAGATTCAGGAAAGTCAATGGACTTTAATCAGAAGTGCTCAAAGCTGACCACAGTCGAGCAAAATCCAATCTTGGTCGACCAAAGTCATCCAAAGTCAACAGCGGATATTGTTTGACTCACAACGAAGACAATTTAAATCGTTTGACCAACAAAGTAGAGAGCGGACAATGGTCATTCCATAATTTGGCCCCCTCAACTCGGGGATGATTGAGTGCTGAAAGTCCAATTTAAATTTTGTTCTTTTTTGTTATTGTAGGTTAAAGTAATTCTCAGTTTTGAAATTTGTCCGTAATTCATTTGTCTCTTAAGTAAACATAGGCTAAGGAAAGTTAGTAAAAAAAGAAACAAAAATTTGAAAAAAAAAATCTGGCTTTATTTCGCGATTTTCTTTCATTGAATTTTTCTATACAAGTTATGATGATCGACGAATAATTAAGTGTTCTAATATCACACCCAGTGACTATCATTATTTATAAGCAAAAATTGGCCAGTCAGTACAATCTGTCTATTTTTTTCAATATTGGACTGAATTACAAAATGCTCCAGTTTGGCCTACTTGGCAAAAGAGTTATGAAACATTTGAGTTGATTATTGCTTAAGTACTTGATTCCTGTGATCTGGTATCTCGATACGATGTGCACGACTTGCTCTTGTCTGATCATCACAAGGTGCATTTTCATTGAATCGGCCAAGCTGGAGCTAAATAATATTTTTGTTGACAAAATAAAGTTTAATTTATGGCAGAACACGGGTAAAAACTAAATTGAGTCTCCATCATAACGCAACCAAATCTAACTTCCAAAAAAAGTCATTTGGATATATTTTCCAGTGACAACTATTCCAGTCCAGTGACAGCTGTTTTCCATTTTCGTATTTGGCTCTCACAAAAATGCAACCTTACTTTACAAATGAGCCAACTTGAAAAAAACAACGGTATTTTGGTCTTAGATCAGCGAACACCGCGGCTCTTCGCCCCCCCCCCCTCCCTCCCCTCACATAACACATAAGAATAACCTTTATAGTTTAAGGAAGGGTGTTAAAAGGTTGGGTATGACGACAAAACAACTGTCATAGCCTTATTAATTGGCATGCCAATTTTTGTAACAGTCGGAAATGTGAACAAAAAAGGTACAAGTAAAATTTCACATGAGGAGGAAAACGGAAAAGAACCAATACTGCTATGATAAAATGGCGATCGCACTCCTGGATCCAAAAAAAAATCGTGACCTCTTGTCTCCAGATGATTCGTGTCCGCCTTGACACCAGCCCTAAGCTCCACGGGAAGTGGCCTTGACTCTGGCATCATCAGATCCGCATTGATTTGATGTTCCTTGGTTTACCCATTGACTCGATGGTCAGCAGAACACGCATTAGACCTTGGAATGAAGGATACCGTTTTTTGCTCCCGAGAGCGCGCTATATCATGCACATGCTTGCTAATCAGTTTGGGGCGTTGAGAAAATTTTTTTTACATGAATTATATTAAATTTGGAAAATCAAAAAAGTTCAGATAAATTTTTCAAAACTTTTTCAAGTTTTGCAAAGTTTTTTTGATCGTTCTTAAATTTTTACTAACAAGGCGCTAAAAATATTCTTGACAACTAAATTGCTTTGGCAAAAACAAATAATAGTTAGTTTTAGAAAATAAAAAATATAAGCCTATTATTCGCTCGAATTTAGATGAATATCAAAAAAGTGAAACCGGTTTTTTAATGTTGTTCAGCACTCGACTAAAACAGTTTTATTATGATATATCACACGACGATGATTGGTGGTATCTGTTGCTAGGGGAAAAAATAAAAACACCCGAAAAAAAATGCTCCCGTTGAAAAACAAAAATCCAAATCAAGCCTTAAAATTGGGCCGAAATTATTTGCACAATCTTATTCAAAAGCTAGAGCTGGGTTGAAGTGGGTTTCGAAGCGAGGAAAAAGCGACACAAATACAGATCTGTTAGTTTTTTCACGGAAGTATTACGTTGGACATGTTGAGCCAATCTTAGAATTGGACTCAAAGTTTCTCATCAAAAACGGTCATTTAGTATTTAAAACAAAATAATTGTTTTTGATTAATTATTGAGAGATAATTTTTAAAAATGCGAAAATGAATTTCTTATTTTATGTAAGAAAAAATACTGTTTCTCAAAATCTATTGACTTTGTATAATGTTTCTCAAATCTTTAAATTAAAACATTTTCAGAAGAAATTATTTTTTCTACATGACTAATTGAGTTTAAAAAAGTCTTATACAATGTGTAGTCAAAACATAGCCAAACACAGTGTGGTCGAAAAATATTGGAACAAAAGTCTAATATAATGTGTAGTCGAAACATAGCCGAACACAAAGTGTGGTCGAAACATAGTCGAACAAAAAGTCTAATACAAAGTGTAGTCAAAACATAGCCGAACACAATATGTAGTAGAAACATAGTCGAACACAAAGTGGGGTCAAAGCATGGTCTAAACAGAGTCTCAAAACAGTCGAACTCAAGGAGTCAAGTTTCTACTATACTAGTTAGTGGTGAAAAACATCAAAGCTGATCAACTTTTGACTTGCATAAATTAAAAGTTCGAAACATAGTAAAATTGAGTCGGGGTGGTCGAAACGTAGCACGATTGGGTCGAACACAAATGAACTCATTTTTGCTTCAGTTGAGTCGGTCGAAACATAGCCAAATGTGGTCGATTCGGTCAAAATATAGCCCTCTTGAATCGAACACAGATTTCATTTTCTTCGGTCAAGTAGGTCGCAACATAAGTTGATTGGGTCATGTCGGTTGAAACATGGTCGATTTGTGTCGAATCCGTTGAAACAGCCCTCTTTGGTCGAATTAATTGAAATTTAGCTATTTTAGGTCGCAACGGTCGAAACATGACTAGAACGCCTCAACCCGGGTTTTATCATAGCTTCAATCGCGCCCCTTAAAATTACTTCTTTTCAATGTGTTCTTTTCTGTTGAATTTTGTTAATTCTTAAATTTTTACATTGATGCAAAATTAAGCTTCGCATCACTTGCGATGCAACAAGAGCTTTAAAAAAACAAAAGTCAGTTTTTTTTAAAATTATGAAAAAATACAAAAGTAGGTGTATCAAAAATTCGAATTTTTCGATGTTTCGATAGAAATTCATTCCAGGCAAAAATTACTAAAATTTGGATATAAATTTAGCAAGGCACAAAACTTGAAAAGAGTGAACGAAGTCGACAATCTTGAGCAGACACAGATTGATGCCAAAAAAAAGTATTTGTAAAAAATCTTTAAGTTGTAAGTCCCATTTGAGACTACGATGAACAACACTTGCACTACTGTAGCAACAAAGCGGACAATCTTTGAGCAGGCACAAGTTGAGCCGAAAAAATGATTTTATGAAAAAAATCAAAACTTTCAAGTTTTCCCCTGATACTAGATAGAACAACACTTGTACTCGCAATGAAAATTGCTACAGAACAAGCAAAATCTGTGATAGGGCAAGTTAGCTGACGAAAATTGAGTAGGCAAATGAAAGTCCGACATTTTAATTTTAACCAATTTTTTTAAATTGCATAAAAACTAAACAAAACAAGGTCCGGCCGAGCCGCGGATTCCAAATTTAAGAGGCAGAGGCAACGGCATTACCCATAGGCTATTTAAAAAGGAACCTGAAAGATGTTAGGGTTCAACATTGAAGACACAGAGGCAAAGCGATACCACAAAAACAGCATTGCAAGCTAGCAGACATGAAAGGAAAGCCAATAAGTCCAAAGAAGAAGCAAAAATGTTCAGAAAACCTCCAAATGTTGTCTGTAATGATGTTTTGCTTGCAAAAGATACGTCCAAAAACATATTTGAGACAGTTTAAGGAAAACTCAATATCAATTATTGATCAAAAATATTTTTTTTTGCCCTGAAAAACTTCAAAATATAAATTCTATAATAATATTTTAATGTTTTGTGCGAAAAAAAACCATGAAAAAATTGGTTCACACAAACGACCCAAATTAGGTTAGGATGTTGATCAGATATAAGCTGAAATCATTTGGGCCGAAAAAATTTTCAAGCGAAAAAAATATCTATACGAAGTCAAGGTTAGTAGAATTACAAACTGCAGGATTAAAAGAAGACATTAAAAGCAACTACAATGAAAACTGCATACAGCAAAAACATTTTTAGATGTGAAAATTAAGCCGACAAAAACATAATCAGACGAACAATAAGCGGACAATTTTTTGTAACGGAATATTTCCCGTTTCAAAAAATGGACTCTGCTCAGATTCGAACACAAAATCTTTGCTGTCGCAGGCTTATTCGTTACCTCCAGACTAGCTGCGCGGAAGACACTTTGAAATTTGAAATTATTATGAACCAAGATACAGAGTGATTCAAATGATTCTGTTAAATAAGTTGTTTGCCCGAAAAAAATCAATATTCCGATTAGATTACGCTTGCTTATCGCAAGCGTAATTATATAAGAGTTCATTTCGTGTTAATAATTTATAGGAAAGATGGTTTCTATTTTGGCTGGTTTCTACGCCTCTCAATTAGCATAACAGCAGAATTGCACTCATTAAACGCACCAGTAAATTTGAAAAATGCTTGCTCATGTTTCAGTTTATTTAGCAAAAAAAAATGAAAATAAAACGGCGATAAATCTCTTTGATTGCAATGCAATTTTTTGTAGCGGGATTAAATTATCACTGTATTTAAGCATCAATTGCTGGGTTGCAGGAAAAGAGTTTACGAAAATTTTAATTTTCAGAGTTTACTTCATGGCCCAACATTTCAAATTCCAATTTTCAATCTCCCCACCACACACACATTTGAGTTTCATTTTTGAAAACCAATTCAACATTGTCACCTTCATATATTTATTCTTCATACTTCGAATCTTAACATTGCAAATTTAGCCATTAGAACACGTAAAACAACTGAGATTGGAAATTTCGAAATGTGGTGGGAAAGTGGAAATAGTCGTTTTTTAATGTATGGCTTGTTTTGCTACTAGCACAGTTTTTTTTCTATAATAGACTTGAGATAATTTAGCCGAAATCGTAGAAGAGTGACTGTGGGTCGAATTGGTCCTCAGCCATCGGCTTGTCAAAAGGACTCATCGCAGCCTCCATCATCTGATCTTCCTGAAAAGAAGAAAAATACCTTTCTATGCCATCGTTTTTAACATAAGAGAAAAACTTTTAAAAATTATTGTGCTGTTTTGAGTTTTATCAAAAGGTTTCGGATGAGCTTAAACTGAATGCGTATGACTATCATATTTTCTGTTCCAAATTGATCGAAGTAGATATTGACATAAAAAGAATATATATGAATAGAACTTGAAAAATTGTAGAAATTAACAAAATCAGTTAGAAAAGCAAAAAAAAGATAAATATGATAGAGATTTGCCAAAAGTTGAAGCAAACAAAAACATTTTTAAAAACTGAACTTTTTTAAAAAGCGTGCAAAAGATATATTTTCAGATAGAGTTGTTTAAAATTCGACCGAAAAATCAAAAAATCAACTGCAAAATGAGTTTTCCTGAAATCGAGGAATAATTTTTAAGAATTTTATTTAAACGTTCCAACTTTTTGCTACTTGTTACTCACGAAACGTAAATTGTTTTAAAAATAGAAAGAAATTAACCATGAATTTTTATTAGGGATGCATATCGTATCTCAATTGCGCTAAATTTGAGCCCCTTGTTTTAATTTCAAGGTAGTCTTTATGAATGAACCAAATGCTTGAAACTTTCTTACGATTCACGGCTAAGCAGCTTCTTTTTGGTAAGAAAAGTTTCAATCTCATCAAACTTCTAACTTAACTGACATCAAACACCTAATTTCACATTCAACAATTAAATTTACGCGAAAGGCAGAAATTTTGTGCATAAAAACAAACAAGACTGCTCGTATCAGGGCGAAGCCCTGAATGTCCCGACTGCCTTTTGAGGTTTATGGAGCAGTAATAACATTAAAAAATTCAATGAAATAAAACAAAATGAATTTTTTTTTTCTAAAATTTGAATTTTTTTATGAAAAACATCCCCTCACACGCCAAATAAAGTACAAAAGGATAGATTTCGCTCCTTGTAACAAATTATGGCAAATAAGCTTCTCTCAACCAAATTGGAACGATTTCAAGACGGATTAATTCTCCGCTTACGCGTTAATAGCGCGAAATATATCGCGCGTTAATTGTCCCAAATTGGCCAAAATGGCAATCTTTAAACCCCCATAACTTTACGAAAAATGTTCAGAGGTGAAATATCTTTTCAAATTTGAGCTCAAGTCAACAATCGTTTTCGAATGATATTTAAAAATTCCGTCAAAAATGGCTAGTTAAAAAGTCGAAATTTGTCTGAAGAAAAAAAACCCACCCCGAGCACAAATATTTCGTTACTTTCGTATCAAAAATCGGAACAACAAATTCAATTTTTAGATTATAGCATTTCAAAACTGCATGGAATAAAACAAATTTCAAAATCCGTTGGATTGATATTATTTTTCATATGTTACTGGAAGTTCTTTAAAAAAATAACCGTTGTGGTAACTTAACTTTTGATAACTTGGTCTTTTGTGTATAGCCAATAAAACCAACGTCAGATTAGAAAAATTTTCCACTGGAAAAAAAACAAGACTGCTCGTATCAGGGCAAAGCCCTGAAAGTTCTGACTGCCTTTTAACGTTTATGGAGCAGTAAAAAAAATTAAAAAATTAAATCAAATAAAACAAAAAGAAAAAAAAAATTTCTAAAATTTGAATTTTTTCATGAAAATCATCCCCCCACACGCCATATAAAGAATAAAAGGATAGATTTCGCTCCTTGTAACAAATTTTGGCAAATAAGCTTCTCTCAACCAAATTGGAACGATTTCAAGACGGATTAATTCTCCGCTTACGCGTTAATAGCGCGAAATATATCGCGCGTTAATTGTCCCAAATTGGCCAAAATGGCAATCTTTAAACCCCCATAACTTTACGAAAAATGTTCAGAGGTGAAATATCTTTTCAAATTTGAGCTCAAGACAACAATAGTTTTCGAATGATTTTTAAAAATTCCGTCAAAAATGGCTAGTTAAAAAGTCGAAATTTGTCTGAAGAAAAAAAAACCCACCCCGAGCACAAATATTTCGTTACTTTCGTATCAAAAATCGGAACAACAAATTCAATTTTTAGATTATAGCATTTCAAAACTACATGGAATAAAACAAATTTCAAAATCCGTTGGATTGATATTATTTTTCATATGTTACTGGAAGTTCTTAAAAAAAATAACCGTTGTGGTAAGTTAACTTTTGATAACTTGGTCTTTTGTGTATAGCCAATAAAACCAACGTCAGATTAGAAAAACTTTCCACTGGAAAAAAACAAGACTGCTCGTATCAGGGCAAAGCCCTGAAAGTTCTGACTGCCTTTTAACGTTTATGGAGCAGTAAAAATAAATTAAAAAATTAAATTAAATAAAACAAAATGAAAAAAAAATTCCTAAAATTTGAATTTTTTCATGAAAATCATCCCCCCACACGCCATATAAAGAACAAAAGGATAGATTTCGGTCCTTGTAACAAATGTTGGCAAATAAGCTTCTCTCAACCAAATTGGAACGATTTCAAGACGGATTAATTCTCCGCTTACGCGTTAATAGCGCGAATTAAATCGCGCGTTAATTGTCCCAAATTGGCCAAAATGGCAATCTTTAAACCCCCATAACTTTACGAAAAAGGTTCAGAGGTGAAATATCTTTTCAAATTTGAGCTCATGACAACAATAGTTTTCGAATGATATTTAAAAATTCCGTCAAAAATGGCTAGTTAAAAAGTCGAAATTTGTCTGAAGAAAAAAAACCCACCCCGAGCACAAATATTTCGTTACTTTCGTATCAAAAATTGGAACAACAAATTCAATTTTTAGATTATAGCATTTCAAAACTACATGGAATAAAACAAATTTCAAAATCCGTTGGATTGATATTATTTTTCATATGTTACTGCAAGTTCTTTAAAAAAATAACCGTTGTGGTAACTTAACTTTTGATAACTTGGTCTTTTGTGTATAGCCAATAAAACCAACGTCAGATTAGAAAAACTTTCCACTGGAAAAAAAACAAGACTGCTCGTCTCAGGACAAAGCCCTGAAAGTTCTGACTGCCTTTTAACGTTTATGGAGCAGTAAAAAAAAATTAAAAAATTAAATTAAATAAAACAAAATGAAAAAAAATTTCTAAAATTTGAATTTTTTCATGAAAATCATCCCCCCACACGCCATATAAAGAACAAAAGGATAGATTTCGCTCGTTGTAACAAATTTTGGCAAATAAGCTTCTCTCAACCAAATTGGAACGATTTCAAGACGGATTAATTCTCCGCTTACGCGTTAATAGCGCGAAACATACCCCGCGTTAATTGTCCCAAATTGGTCAAAATGGCAATCTTTAAACCCTCATAACTTTACGAAAAATGATCACAGGTGAAATATGTTTTCAAATTTGAGCTCAGGACAGCAATAGCTTTTGAATGATCTAAAAATATTCCGTCAAAAATGGCTAGTTAAAAAGTCGAAATTTGTCTGAAGAAAAAAAAACCCACCCCGAGCACAAATATTCCGTTACTCTCGTATCGAAAGTCGGAACAATAAGCAAATTAATTCAGTAAAAATTTGATCTGTTGGATAACACGAAGCGGTCTTTTTCAACTCTTCGTTAAGACCAGTGGCGGTTTTTTATCCTTTGGTACTAATTTATGACGTCTTTTTCCACACAATCAAACAATGTTTCGTCTAAAATTGCCTTCGGAGTACAAACGTTTTAAGTTTTAGGAGGTACGAGCCGGAAAAAGCAAATTTCGCCAGATTTTATTTCAAAAATTTGCCTTCTGCGAGGAAATTTTTGGTTAAATAAGGTTTTTATGGCGCTTTCTTTGTGAGAGCTCGTAAAAAAATTTTCTTGGTCAGAAAATAGGTTAAAATTGGTTTTGTTTCTAAAAAATCCGCCGCTCCCACCGGGGTGTTTTATTTTTGGGTGCCTAATGTATTTTTACTCAGGAGAGTTTAAATTGATTTTCGAAATCTCGAAAAACAGGCTGATAAAATTTTAGGACACAATGCTTCAAAACGCTGCGTAGGGCAATGTCTTTGAAAGTAACGACTCAATATCGCGTTTTTGGTAGACACTCGGCTCCCTACCATGCATAAATTTGCAGTAAATGCTGAGTCTCAAGGGGCGGATTTAGAGGGGGGGCGGACTCCTCCCCCCTCAGGGATTCGACCACCTGCCGACCCAAAGGGTCCCCCCTTTATACTATTTTCCAATACCCATTTTTGGTGATGGGCCCTAAAAGTTTTTTAAAGGCGCCTTCGGCGCCAATATATACTAAATTTGAGGGAGGAGCGCGCGCCGAAACAACGCGATTTTTTGGTCAAAGTTTTCAAAAAAGTGCCTAAAACGCCTTTTTTGGCCTGTTTTTTCAAAATAGGAACAAAACAGTGCTTTGGGAGAGCTCGAAAAATCAATTCTAAAAAATCTAAAAAAGGTCGACAAAATCCACCCCCGCCCCCCTTCGAGAAAATCCTAGATCCGCCCCCTGCTGCGTCTTTAGCAATCTTTTGAGATAGAAGTATTTTCAAATTTCTAAGGCTTTATAGTTGAACCCTATATGCAGAATTTTTTTTGGTTAATTAGACTTTAGAAGAATTACTTACGTGGTAAAATGAGTGAAAAATAGGTTTTCGACATCTGTGTGGACAGTTGCATGTTGATGAACAAGTGCACATTCGTTGATAAAAAAGTACATAGCCAAAAGTTTGAGATCAGATGATATAAAAATGACCACAACGCATGCTCCATAAAAATGAAACTCAAAGAGACTATAAATTATCTTTTTAGAAACAACACCATGCTTCACGCAGTTTAAAAAGATTACCGATTCAAATTTCTTCATCTTCCTGTTGAATTCGGGCTATTTTACCCGATTCGATTTGACGCTGAAATTCAAAAAACTTAAGTCTTCACTTCAATTATTCGCTCTTCACGAAACTTAAAAAGTGCAAGGTTCTTTTTTAGCGCCATATTTGGCAATTTTCAGCATAAAATAACAACAGCCAATTGATTGTTGAAGACCATTTGTTGGCCATTTATTAATGAGCGAAAGGACCAAACTGACCAGCTGTTCAGCTGTTTTAAGGCTGTGTTGCTTAAGAAATAGATGTAACGTTTCTGTTATTTTTGGGCTGAGAACAATTCTAGGGGCAATGATAACTTGGTCCGGGTGGAAGGGGGGGTGTGTTTTTTTTGCAATGGAGAAATGAAAGAAATTAACAAAGTAGATTTGAGTCATAAATTTCCAAATAATTTCATCAAATTTAATAGGCTTTCGTAAATCTAAATTCGGACATTCAACGGGCGGGGTAGTGCTGGAGTAAATAGACCAGCCGAAAATTTAATCATGAGAATGAAATGTGCATAACTATCGTAACTGTTACATAATTGTTACATAACTATTATATAACACAAATGTATTTTCGGCTGGTTGACACTTCGGCTGGTTCGTATACCACCGATTGATACTAACGAGTAAATTGAAGAAGGTGTCTGACATGGCCATCTCGTAGTAGTGTTCCGCCTTCTTGTATTTCTCCCCCTGTGCCCCCCTCTTCTGGTACTTACTCTGCATCGTGGCCAGCACCAGGGCAGAATAGCTCTTACCAACTGACACTTCGCGAGTCTCCAGAAACCTCTTCTGGCTTATTTTGCCAGCGGTCGCTATCTTCTTCAGTAAACTTCTCTCCTGATATTAAACACAGAAAAAAACTCTGAAAAAAAAAATTTGTGCGCCCCTTTTTTCCTGTACCAAAAAAAAAGATTTTTGCACTACTAACTGGAAGATCGAAATGATTTTGTGTGCCCATGAACAAATTTCAACAAAGTATTACAAAAACTACTGTTTGGAAAACCCTTTCACCTTTTAATAAGTTATAAGGCAAAAACTCGAATGTCTAACGAATGTCAAAACTCGAATGTCTGTTTAAGTTTCTTCATATTCGATATTTTCTTCTATTGCGAGGTCAATCGAAAAATATTTGAGACTCATTCGTACCTCTGCTAGGGGATATGAATCCGATTCGTTAACGAAGTTGCCGTCATATAGTTTGATGGTAATAGAAGCAGCCAGTCTCTGAAAACAATTAGAATAATTGATGCAAAATGTTGCTATCAAATCAACATATAATTTTAAAATATCATAGTTATATGTTGGGTTTTTTAAGGAAAATAATCAAAAAGCTGTGTTTTTTGAGTTAACTTTCGTATCAGTTATGAGAATAAATCATGAAAGTAGTGAGTTATTTGGAATTATTTCATCAATTAGAATTGACAGGAGTGATTAATTTGACTGGGACTGACGCTTAGTTTTTGGGTTCCCTCTTTGATGGCCTTTATCATCGCATCCACCACAGGCATCTGCATCACGTCCCGCACAAACTCCTGCCTCACGCAAAAACAAACAAACATTTACACAAAATCAAACAAACAGTTACACAAACAAAAAACTGTTAAACAAAAAAAAACAGTTACCCAAAAAAAGCAAAAAATAGCACATGTAGAATTTTGATAAAAGGACGCATATATCATGTTAGGGATCTATTACCCCCCCCCTCTGTGGTATCTACTACAGAATTGCCACCCCTATAAACAAAAGCTGTAAGTTAGCTCTAGAGCGCAGTATTTAAACTTCGAGCTTTGCTGCATTGTGATTGGTCAAAAATTCTTTTCGACCAATCAGAATGGGAAGGGGAGGGGCGGTAAAAAGTATTAGATAGATCGATCCCATTTTAGGCCAACTTATATCGGTTAAATCTAAATCAGAGACGTCTAGTTTTGTTTGATTTCGACACCCTTTTCTAAAGAATTCGTTTTCCTCATTATCTCCCAGAGGTCACAATAAAAATTTTGGCCGACTGACTCTTATAATTTTCTAAAGGCGCCTTCGGACTTAGAAGATGGTAGTGCAGTTTTTTGGTCAAAAATTTCCAGTGAGCGCTCAAAAACGTAGTTTTAGCCCCATTTTTCAAATATTTGTTCGTGGCATAGTAAGCTTTAGTCTTAATAAGGTATTTTCAGCGTTTTGCCCGGAAGTCGACTAAAATTTTAATTTGGTTGAGCAAAAACTGTCGGCATAACTTCGGGTTTTATTATTTTTAAATACGCCCACTTCGCAAAAACTCTGGACCAAAACTTGATCTAAATCAATATCAAACTACTTTTCTCGCAAATTTTGGAAAGAAGAGGCATCTTTTGGCTCCAAAAATTGTGCTAGCACAATTCGCAAGAAATGTTATTTTCTTTCGAACTTTTTGAAATCATCTTGCATATTTTTCATAGTTTTGTTTTAAGAAAACTGACCTCAATTTGAACTCTCTGGCCCTTTTGCAAAAACTTCATTTAACTAAAGATTGAATGCCGATGGCTGAAAAATGAGAAAATCTATCTGCTGTTTCCTTTTCGCTTGTAATTCTTGAGCATGTAATTCTTGAGCATGTAATTCTTGAGCAGCGGTTCTCCGTGAAGAGCTGAGCAGCTCGTATGTTGGTCCTTTCCCCTTGTGGGTAAACCGTCTCAAATAAAAACTATCCTAACCATAATTATAATTACCGCACCTTCGAAAGGAAAAATAAATAAATAAATTGAAAGCAACAAGATGGAAAACTCTTCAAGACTAGTACCACCAACCGGCGAAGGCTGTTCATCGAACACAGGTAGAAAATGAACTCCGGCGTTGACTGAGTTGCGTTTGAACAGATTGAGGGCCGTCCAGCCCATCCGGTGTTCAGGCAGCAGAGTCAGAGTCTCTTTGCCCTCTGGGGGGAAAACGAGTCCAGGTTTGGTCACTTCCGGATCTCCGACGTACTTGGCGTCCATCGCGAGGACTTGCACCAGGATGCAGGAATTGACATCGTAGTAGGGATTCACTTTCTGAAGTCAAATTTAATTTATAGTCTTCAAAAACTGAATTTAACCCATATGAGTATAAATTGATGAAAAAGAAAATTCGTATGTACTCAAAAGAAACTCACTAAGCGTTTTAATAATAGAAGAGAAATTAGCTGGCCGCAGTGCAAGTACGACAGATAGTTCCGACTGGCAGTCATGTTTGCTGAATAAAAAAAAACTATCGGTACAATTTCTTCGAAAAACACACAATTCAATTTTTTTTCAGATAGATTGTTTTCAGAATTTTTGTTTCAATTAAAAAAAATATTATTTGATTCAAGGAGGCTTTGGCTAAGTTTTCAGAGCCAAATTAGCAATGAAAACTATTTTTTTTGCCCCGCTGCTGGAGTAATTTGCTCTAGATGCTCTCATATTCTCAATGAATTGGTTTAAAATTGAATGAAGATGATTAAGAAGGTCTGAGATTTTTGTGTCGTAATCGATCCCCTGCCATGCCAATCATAGTGTGCGAGGACGAGCTCTCACCTGACCTCAATCTTCAGGTCTACCACAGCCTGACCTAATTTGGCTGCAATAGTGGTACCACGTGAAAGTTCTAGACGCAAAAAATGGCCTTGAGTCGCGGAAAAAGCTTCGCTGAACAAATTAACTCAGTCTGGAATATGGGGAAATAAAAGAAACGGAATATGCTTAGACAGGCTGGATAGCCTTTGATAGATCCTCTGCGAATCGCAGAAACCACAATTGTTTTTCCAACATACATATGCTTTGTCTGTCCATCTGGGCGATGCCTGAAGAGACTGGTAGTCGTGTCTGTTCACGATGAACTTGTACTCGCTCCCGAATCCCTCGGCCGACTTGCCCCACGCCGCCGTCTTGTTACCCTGGTTGATGCGCACAAAGCAACTGCAGTACAAGTTGTTTGCTACAAAAACAAGCAGTACAAGTTGTTTGCTACAAAAACAAGCAGCTTATTAGGGCTATAAAAATTTGAAAAACTTGTTGCAAACTGATCCAGAAACCCAAATTTGTCCCAGAAATAAACAGGGGACAACAGCGGTTAGCCGCGATGAGCTGTACAGCTCTTGTGTTGGTCTTTTCGCCCGTGGATAAATGGTCTTAATATTAATCAAAGCATATTCAAGGAGTAGTAGATTTATGCAACAAAATTTGGATAAGTAAGTAAATTTCAAAAGTATGTAAGCTTATCTGCAAGATAAATTTGGATTTCTGCAACAAAATTTCTGGAACAAATTTGGCTTTCCGGACCAGTTTGCAACAAGGTTTTCCTAATTTTTATAGCCTTCCGAGTCCTTACATTTGTTTTCATGAGGGTCAGAGCCGGCCTTTTTAGCTCAACAAAACTGAGCTTTCGATGTCTCTTAGAACGCTAAATAGTCCCAAATTTGGCAAAATGTCTTTGCGGCAAGTGCGTTTTTGAAAAACCTGCCAGGATCAAAACATCAAAACTGGTCGAGAAAAAAATTGAGAAAATTTTTTTGAAAAATTGAATTTCAAACTTGCCGAATGTTTTTGAGATCGCCAAACGCCAAGTAATTTTGGGTAAAAACAACAACGCAGGATAAAGGAGGAAAAAATGTTGTGTGCGAATAAAAAGCAGGATGTTTATCATGAACAGGATAGGATATTTATGACTATGAGTACGCTAATTTATGCTCACATAGCAGTCCGAATGCCTGCTCGACCTTGACAAACATTCCCGATCCGAGGTCATAATCCAGACAGTCCTGAAGATTGACGAAGTTGGGGGTGGCCTAAGAAAACATTTACAAAAAAAAGCTTTCCAAGTGAAGTCATTACACTTGTTAGAAATGAAGACTTTTTTCGAAAACATCACTTGAGAAACCGCCATAAGACAGTCATCTGAGAGCGAGAATCGAAATTTTTTTAATAAACTTATAGCTAGGGGAAAATACGTGGGTAGAAAAACCAATTTGTTCACAAAAGATAGAAAGGGAAAAGTTTTATTGTTTGGCAGAAGTAGAGTTAGGTGGTCTACCAAAAACAAACTTCAAAAAATTGTTGTCAAAATTTTGTTCCTGATTTTTGATGTTTTTAAAATAATTTCTGTAGGTTCAGGGAACACAGAAGACGAGTTCTAGCAGCAATTGAGTGCTAAGATGCTGAGTTTGCGTGTATTGGAGCAGCTCTTGATATATTTTTTAAAAATAATCTACAGTATTTGTTTATACTGTTTTAGATTGGCATTCACTCCGCCTGTTTGCTAAAAACTTCCAGCAATTCAGAAGTATGAAAATTTTATTGGTAAAAAATTGGTATTGTTGGCTTATGTGTTGATTGATTCAAGTTTTTTCTGAAGTCTATGCTTTCCAAAGGACATTTCAGCTGTCAATCTAAGTATTCCAACTTTACTACATCAGTTTATGCGTAAACGAAAATTCCATATTATAAAATTGGCTAAACCAAAACTTTAAATACAAAAAAGCTGTTTTTGGTCAATATAGTTCTGAATCTAATTAAACCCCACAGCACTTGCTTATTTTGTTCTAAAGACATTAATTGATTTTTGAACGTTAGGTTTTCATCTAAAATTTTTCCAAGATTCTTACAATTTTTGAGTTTTTCCGTTTTTGCTATTGAATGTTGGATCTATAGAAATTTAACAGCTGAATGTTTGCGAAAAAAAAACTTGCATTAAAAGTTTTTGCAGTTGTAAGTGTTAGTTTAATGATTGTTAACCAAAATATATTTTAGTGTTTCGTCTAAGAATTTTTGGTGGTCTGCTTTTAAATCATTTATTAAACAAGTTGTTTATATGACTGCATCATCCACATAAAGAAACAGGGATAACTGGTTACTGTGCAAGTAGCAGAGAACGTTCCGACCGTATATAATCTTTAGAAAACTACGGTTTAGTGTAGTTTTTTTTTGCTTGATGTGATAAAAGGATCTGACGTTAAAATATAATTTAGGAATAATAGACAATTAGCAATAGTAATATTGGAGAATAGTAATATAGGCAAATTGAACAAAAAAATTTGAAGAAAAAAAATTGGAAAAACTAAAAAAAATTAAATATCATTCAAAAACTTTTGCGGAAAAATTTTGAATTTTTTGGTTTCCATAATGAAGCTATAAAACTCTTAAAACTAGTTGTACATGCTTAAAACTAAGTTTTAAGGCCTTAAATTGGGCGTCATTCAGCTTGTAAGCCTACACGCTCACGCCATTTATGTACGAAATTGGACCGAAAACCAACAATTTCAAACCGGTATTTCTCAACACTGCTAAATTTTTTTGATAATTTTTACTGTCGTTCGAATCAAGATTGAAAAGGCTTCAAAATGATATATCACTCGAACAAATCTGATGATTATATGTGGTACCTGACTTTGCGTAGAAAACAAGAGGGAAAAACTAAAACACCCAAATACAAAACTCCTCGCCGTTTTCAACGGTCGGAACAATAAAAAACTATATTGTTCAGCATGATTACCATTTTCTATATTAGTGACTCATTATTACCATGTTCAGCATTATTACCACTTTCTATAGGGTGATTAGAAGTGGGTTGAATTAATTTTTGAAAATACGTTGTCACAAACACAGGCTGAAAGTTTTCAGAACACATTAAATAATGTCGTACGACTCTTCAACAAAAGGTTCTAACACTTTTTCAGCTTTTTTGGTGTTTCTAGTTTCAAAGTAAAAGTTCTGGTTGAATGTGAAACTTTTATTGCTTGAGCAAAGAAAGCTTAAGCAGCAAGGATTTTGCTAGTGTTAGAACAAACGCATTTGATTGTCTATATAAACGTCTTCCGTTGGGTTATTTTTTTTACATTTCGTAATCTTTTAATTTTGTGTTCCTTGTGATGAGTTTTTTTATGATTGCTTGCAATGACTATTAACAGAGCTTTTTAAAAAAGAGAAGAAAAAGCAGAAAAAAATTGAACAAGAGGTTTTCCTTTTGCTCTGATTAACAATATGTCTGTTTAAGGTGGAGACGCTTTTCGAGCATTTGCATTCTCTCTCGCAAATTGTAGAAATTTTCTCTTTATTGCGTTATTCTTGAGTTTTTTTCTACATTATCGAAACTATTTAAGACATAAGTCCTAAATTTTCAGTTCCTCATAGGACTGTAGAAGCAGACGCTTTTAAGTTTAGTTTTGAGCAGCACTATGTCTTTATATGATAGAGAAACTTTCCGAGCAATTGCATTCTCCTCGCAACATGTAAAAAATTTCTTCTTGTTGCGTTATTATCAAGTTTTTTTACGTTATCGACACTATTTATGACATAAGTTTTTCAATATCTCCCTACCCTACCGCGCCTGAAACCACACAATTTTTCGTTCCGGTTTTGGGGCTTAGTTGCTTATCATCTTCTCTTATTTCTGCTTCAATTTGGAGCAGGGACTCTACTAAACAAATTCTTTTTTGTTAACTAGATGAATTTTTTTTGCATAACATTTGCCTGATTTTCTAAATTACAGACTTGTTGTCAAAATACACAAAGTTGTAGCTACCACACGTCAGATAGTCCTTACACTCCCCTGACTGATTTTGACGAGCTTTTAGTCCTTTTTAAAGTTTCATTTCACTAAAGCTTCTTGAAAAACTTCAAAGCCTTGATGGTTCTTGAGATTTTTCTTGAAAATCTCACAGCCTCGAGAAATTGATAAACAGTAACTTTAATTTTAAGCGACATGCGTTCCAAACATTTTCAAATGCTATCAGCTTTTAACTGACGTTTTAAAAACCCAGTGGTAGCAAATCGTGAGTGCATAACTTTCAAAGTTTCAAAATATCATCAGGTTAATTACAAACGTTGATTTGCATGAATAATTTTCTCGGAAAAGTTTTGATAGCCTCAAAAAAATAATGATCAGCATTGAGTGTTTTTGGTAAATCTGGAAAAAAGTCCTCGTAAATGAACAGGGGATCTCTCGTTGCGGCAAATCATATTTTATTATTTAGCGATCAATTTAATTGTTATGACGAGCGAGACGAGGATGACGACGACTTGTTTACCTGGTTTGAGGGAAGTTGTTTTCGGTCCAATTTCTCGGCCACGTAGTTCACAAAATCATCATCACCCACAAAAGAAGTCACTGAAAAAACGAACTCAATTTAAACTTTTTTTCATTCTTGTCTGAAAACTTCTCATATTAGTTCAGTTCCGTGTTTTATCAACTTGATTTTGAGAGTAATTGCATACTTAAATATTGTTGCAGATATTTTATAATTTGTAATAAGAGCAATGGAAATTGGAAAACAAATTGAGCCGTGATTCTTGTCAAAAAACTACAAACGTCTGATGGCTCTATTCGTTACCTAGCAAAAGAAGAAGAATGTATTTCGCTTGCTTGTACAATACAAGCTTTCATAGAAAATGTACTCAACTTATAAATAAATGAAATATAAGTGAAATATAAACATTGAAATAATAAATAAATTTGAGCGAGGATAGGCAAAGGGTTAGATAGATCCACTTAAAGCATGCCCTAAATGGTGACCATTCTGTTATACCTGTTGAAATACGCGATGCCGGTGCTCGTTTCGTCTGGGCACCCATCGTGTCCCTATTAGTCTCCCCTTCTTCATTCGGGGCCTCTTCCTCGGGCGGGGGTGGGGGCAACTCGCTCTTGATGAACGTAGTCGGGTCTAAATTCTGGTTTACAGCTAGTTCGACCTTCTTGTACTGCACGATTCCCTCTCGGACGGTTCTCGGGTACTGGTCGTGACGAAGGTAGTGACTCAGTACCCTCACGTCGGATTCGTTCGGCTCACATGTAGCTGACTTATAGTAGCCAGTTTGGTAATCGGGCATTGGCTGGAGTCGCTAAAAACAGGAAAATTTAATGAACTAGATTTATGGTGACATTTCAATTTCGCTTATGAAGATCTCGAAAAAAGTAGTACCATCAAACAAAAAAGTAATATAAAGTAAAGAAACTTAATTTTTATAAACTAAAATAGTTTTACCACTGTTTAGTTACTTTCGACCGTAGGTACGTAGCTTGCGACCACAAAAATTAACCGCAAACCTCCCATGCGATGTCAGGATTAATACCGCACTTACGAAAACAGTGAAAAACCCTTCCCCCTCCCCCTCAGAGCATCGACAACCTCACCACCCAAAGGGTCATCCGCCCGTTATAGATTGATCGCTGGAGAAGATCTTTCCTTTTAGAATAACTTCACTTACCATTCTTCCCTTCCGCCAGTCTAAATTTTGATTTTTTCTTCAACTTTTTTGACTTTTCTTGAAAACTACCCTCCCAAATCTGAGTTTTTGTGTCCAATGGAGAGAACAGATCCTGTGGAGCTTCCTGCATAAGCCATGAACTGATTAACTTTGTTCTCACCTCTGAGTGTGGGAGTAGTCTTGCGAGGATGGAGCAGGTGGCGGGTATGGGGGGATTGTGGAGGAAGGAGTCCTCGTCGAGAGGTCTGTCCTCCTGGGGGTAGCCCCAATAAAGTCTCACTTGGTGTCCCCCCACGTTCAACCAACCCTGCAGAAAAACAGAAAATTAAATAAAAAGAGGAGACGCTCAAGCTGAAAGAAAACAGAAACAATTTAAAGTAATTTAATTTACCAGTTGGGTTTATCAGATCCGAAGCTATGTAACCAGGGGTGGATCTAGGATTTTCTCGAGGGGGGGAGGATTTTCAAAAAATTTTAGAAAATTTTATCGACCTTTTTTTAGGTTCTAATGTTTTGGCCAAATGTTCTGCGCCGCATGCAAAACTTTGAAAAAACAGTCCAAAAAGAAATTTTTAGGCATTTTTTGAAAAATTTTGACCGAAAAAATCGCGAAAATTTAGGGTTGGTCGGCCGAAACTGGATTTCCTAAAAAGTACCTTTGGGTCGGCAGGGGTCGAATCCCTGAGAAAGGGGCGTCCGCCCCCCGCCCCTGTATGTAACCAAAAGTGGATCCAGGATTTTCTGGAGGGGAGGGGGACATATTTTCAAAAAAACTCGAAAATCTGGTCGATTTTTTTCAAGTTTTGATTTTGCCGATTTGATTTTCCGAGCCCTCTCGAAACACTATAAAGACGTTACTTTAACAATATTTTCTGCGCCGCTTCTATTTTGAAGAAACGCCGCCTTTGAGCACTTTTTGGAAGGGTTTGAACAAAAAATGGCGCCTTTAGAAACACTTTAGGACCGGTCGGCCGAAAACGGATATCGTAAAAGAGTACCATAAAATATTTTAAAAGTTATCTTTTTGTATAATTTATAAATTAGCCTCAGAAAAGATCTACCATGAGTCAAAAGGCTTTTTAGGTAACAACTGTATTTAAGACAATTTGTTGAACATATCTTAAAAGTCACTTTGTTGAAGTCAAATTTATTACTCATTAGTTCGGAACAAATCATGCTATTATTAAAAGATTTTACCGCATTTTTCTTTAATTCATGTGAGACAATTCATGTCATGAATATCCTCGGGGGAGGGAGATCTTATTTGTAACCGAAGGGGAAGGAGTTGAGCCAAGTTTTTTTTGTTGTTGTTGTTGTAATACAATTAAAGTGGTCTTAAATCTTCTTTTTTGGGGTTACGAGGGCAAGTTTCACCGCTGGTCTTGTTAAAGTACATAGGGCTGTTTTCAGTTTACACGAGCGCGCGATGCCATCCGAGCCGGTAAAAACTTCTAACACTCGGCCCAGTGGCCAGATGCCTCTTGGTGTAAAGTCCTCAAGTATCCACACGAGGTCATCCTTTTCGAGTGGTTCCTCGGGTTGCGTCCATTTAGTCCTTCTGATGAGAGTCGGAGCGTACTCTTTAAGTGGACGCCTCCAGAAGCTGTCAAGTCTATCTTTTGCTCGCTTCCAGGACTTGTTGGACAGTTTACTGGTAGATGCTTCGTAGAAGGCTGCTGCTGGAGCGTAGACGAATGGACGACCCATTAAGAAGTGGTTGGGTGTCAGTGGAAGGTCGTCGTCAAGGTCGCTACTGACATGAGTTAGCGGACGTGAGTTGAGGATTGCCTCGGTCTCGGCTACGATAGTAGCAAATAGATCTCTTGATAGTCGATCAGAACCGAGATTTAGTAAGAATGCTCGTTTTATCAATGAGACGAGTCGCTCCCACACGCCGCCAAAATGGGGGGCAGCCGGAGGATTTAGGCGCCATTCAACATTGTGGATTTGTAGCGTTTCAGTTAGGGTGGTTTCGTTGAAATTGATTGAATCTGAGCGTAGTTGTTTATGCGCGCCGACGAAGTAAGTAGCGTTGTCAGAGATTAAAAGCTTAGGTGTGCCTCTCCTAGCAATAAAACGTCTAATTGCCGTTATACAGTTGTTCGTAGTAAGGTTGTCTGTCGATTCCAGGTGAACCGCGCGAGTAGAGAGGCATGTGAAGAGGCAAATATAGCTTTTTTCAGTTGTATCCTTTGTTGCTATGTAGAATGGCCCGATATAGTCAATTCCTGTGTTTTTGAACGGAAATGGGTCGTCAGACGGATCGTCGAAACGAGTTGGCGGCAAGTCGGCCATGAGTGGATGTAGCCCTTTGCCTTGGAATCTTCTGCAGAGAAAGCAGTTATGTCTTATCTGTCTGAGTGTTTTTCGGAGCCCAATGATGACAAAACTTTGTTGCAGGTAGTTGCGAATGTACTCAGTGCCGTGGTGCATGCAGCGGCGATGAGCGCTCTCGATCATCATACGCACAATTGGGTCCTTTGCGTTAAGAATTATTGGATACTTTGTTGCGTCCGGTAAAGGTGAGTTTCGTAGTCGTCCTCGCGCGCGAATAACACCGTTGTCGAGAAAAGGTGACAGCTGTTGCAGTTTGTCTTTGTTTTCAACTTGTTGTTTGGTTCGTAGTTGATTGTAGGTGTCACCAAAGGTTTCTTGCTGGGACTGTTGATAAAGGAGGAGCTTAGCTTTTTCTAGGTCTTCCATAGTGGTAGAACGTTTGCCGTTTCTCTTAAGTGTATCGACAAAAACTATAACCCGAGCTGTGACCCGAACTAATCGAAACCAATCTGAAAACCTGGAAGAATCGATTAAGGGTGTAGTTGAGGGGCTAACCGTTGTAGCATTACTTTGTTCCATTATTTCGTTGGTCCCCCAAATAGGCTCATTGTTGAGTAAAAATTGTGGTGCATCCAACCAGAGCTTTGCTACGTCTTTAAGTTCAATTCCTCGTGTAGCACTGTCTGCTGGGTTGAGTCTACCAGGTATGTGTTTCCATTGTTCGGCTTTGCATAAAGTAAGTATTTCACCAACTCTGTTTGCGCAGTAAGTTTTCAGTTTACCAGGTGAAGCGATCCAGGACAAAACAGTAGTGCTATTCGTCCAAAAGTGAGTGGAGTGGGGCTTTAATCGCATTTCATCAGTAGCGAACTTGCATAGTCGAGCACCCATAAGGTCGGCTTGTAATTCCAGTTTAGGAATGCTCTCTTGATTCAGTGGTGCTACCTTTGTTCTGCCAATCAAGAAAATAGCGTGTATGCCAGAGCTACAAGCAGTTCGGAAGTAGATGCACGTAGCCATTGCGTCTTGCGACGCGTCGCAGAAAATATGAAGCTGTATATCACTAGGTGACAGCTGTGGACCAAGTAAGCGCGGCAGTCTAACAGGGGGTACTTGTTTGCATTGGTCAACCCATTTGTCAATTATCGGAACAAAGTCACTGGGCACAGTTTCGTCCCAAGAGATACCAGACTTCCACAAGTTTTGCAGAAGAATTTTGAGTTTTATGACAAACGGCGCTAGGATGCCTAAGGGGTCGAAAACTCTTGCTACTGTAGAGAGAACTGTTCGGAGTGTAGATGATGTAGTATTATTTAGCTTGGTTGTTGGTTGCACGAACATCGTATCGTCAGTTGTGTCCCATTTGACACCCAGAACACGATGCACTGTAGCATTAGTAGAAACTTCGCCTCCATCAATGGAGTAGATCGCGTCATTAGTGTTAGATACGAACTTAGTTAGGTTGAATCCCCCCTGTCTTAGGGAGGATTTTAGTTGCGTAGTAGAGTCTCTAGCCTCGTGTGTCGTGTTGAACGAGTGAACGAAGTCGTCCATGTAAAAGCTTTTGTGAAGCAGTTGAGCAATACTGGGTTTGGTTATGCAGTAATCGGCAGCTGTTTGATGAAGCGCAAAGATGGCAATGGATGGTGAGCATTTTGCACCAAAGATAAGTCGCGTGTATTGGTATTGTTTGATACCATTTTTAGTAGGCCAAAGGAAGCGAAGCGCATTTTGATCTTCATCTTTAATACCTATTTGCATAAACATACCTTCAATATCCGCTGATACAGCCACAGGTTTTTCCCGGAATCGTAGTAGAAGTCCAAACATGTTGTTCAGGAGGTCAGGTCCAGTTTCGAGGCAAGAGTTCAGCGAGACGCCTTTGTACGTTGAGGCGGCGTTGGCCACTCTGCGTACCTTTCCGGGCTTGTTTAGATTAGTTACAGGGTGATGTGGGAGGTACCAAAGTAATTCAGGTTGTGGGTATTGGAAAGTAACGGGCTTGACGTAGTTATTTTCCAGGTCGGTAGTAAGCGATTTCTCATAGAGTTGCATGGTTTCAGGGTCTTTTCTGAGCCGTTTTTGTAGCGATAGCAGTTGAGCTTTAGCTACCGGATAATTGTTTGGCAATTTTATTTCGTTTTTCCAGAGCAGATTTATTTTGTAGCGATCTCCATCGTGCTCAATACTTTTTTCCATAAATCTTAGTTGTCGTTTGCTTTTATCAGAGTATGTAGCTTTGTTATCTTCCTGGATGCCTGATCCTTCTACTTTCCAGAAATTTTCCACTAATTCAGTGAGATTAGCGTCTTCTTGATCATTTAAGTCAATGAAGTTAGTTGAGTGTGAGCTTGGTCCGGAACTATTAGATTTCTGGTTGAGTGGGCCAGTGATCGTCCAACCTAGTAGGTTTTTTACAGCGTAGGGGGTGCCTGTAGGACCTTTTCTGATATCGCGCTCCGCTATATTCCAGAAAGCATCTACGCCAAGCAATATTTGAACTGTGTTGTCGCCTAGTTCAGGAAAGTTGACATGTCGAAGGTGATTGTAGAGTGAGCACGTTTTGTTAAGGTTGTTTGCGTCGATAGCGTCAAAACTCAGAGCTTCAACTGAATAGACTGATTGTAGGGTGAAAGTAGGTTTTGTAGCGTTATGTGGTCCGATACTAAGCCGGACCAGCGAGGAAGACACTTTGTCCTTACTGAAAGCACCTCGTACGCTAAGCTGTAGTTGTTGGCTTGGTTTGCACTGAAGTGTTTCAGCTGTTTTGCTGAGGATATATGAGCAGCTGCTGCAGTTGTCGAGTATGGCGTAGCAATCTAGTTTGATGCCATTGTTAAACAGTGTTACCGGCATAAATTGTAACTGATTTCTGATATTGTTTATATTTTGGATTGGATCCTCAGCTTGTTCCGAGGGCTTGGTTACTGTAGTGCCAAGCTGCATGTTATTTGATTTTTGGTTGTGCGTTTGAAACGGTTTTTTGTCGATGTGTAGAGTTGAATGGTGTTTCCCTCCGCAGTTGTTGATGAAACATCGCTTAGACGATGTGCATTCACTAAATCTGTGTTGGCCTAAGCAGTTGAAGCACAGCTTATGTTGCTTCACCAGCTCTGCCCGTTGATCTACGGGAAGTTTCAAAAAGTCCGGACATTTTCCAACGTAGTGAACTTGGTTATCTATTGGACATGTTAAAGTTGTTGGTCTTGCTGATATGCCTGAAGATTTGTCGTAGTTTTGCCTTGACATAGAAGTAAATTGGTTGGGTCGGCTGTCGGGTTGTTGTTGCTTCATAGGTTGGCGATTTCTTCCCGCTTGGTTTGGAGTCGACGGGTCTATGTCCAGGTTCTCGCATGCTCGCGAGTAGTTATTGAGGTACTGCGTCCAGTCTTTGAGTGTAGCATAATCGAGATCGTGCAGCACGCAGTGTTCTTCCCACTTCATTAGTAGAGTTACTGGGAGTTTTGATCGAGCAAGTCGAGTCAGGTTACTAGAATTTAGATCAGCGGTGTAGCCGTTGAGTTCGAAGTTGTGGATTAGTTTCCGTAGGAAAGCAGCGTATCTTATGAAACCCTGTGGTTCGCTTAGTATCAATTTGTCAAATTTTTCAAGTTCCCTGATGAACGCTGACACCACATATTTTGGGTTACCGTATCTACGCACTAATTCAAGTATTGCCTGTTCATACTGAGAAGAATTGGTTCCGTAGCTCTCTATTAAAGATTTAGCATTATCAGTGCATAATGACTGCAAGTAAGTTATTTTTTCAACCGGGCTTAGGCGTGGGTTGTTGCCAATCGCAGTCTGGAAGAGTTCGAACCAGTTGTTCCACTCCAGTGGGTTGCCGTCAAACTTTTGTAGTTTTATATCTGGCAATTTGAATCCTTTCAAACTGTAGTTGATGGCAGTGGTCGGATGACTGGTAGTGTGGTTGGTGATTTGTCTTTGTTCATTATCGAAAAGGCTGTTGCGTTGTTGTTCGTGTGATTGTAGGATAGTCCTATGATGGTCGTTAAAGTGGTTGGTAACGAACTGTTCAGATGTAGTAGCAGGACTATTTGCAATTGAAGTTGTTAGCAGACCATATCGATTATTGCCAGTTGACATCTGGGCTTCAAGTCTTGAGTTGTCGTTCCAAATGTGATTTTCATTGGAAACTGGTGGAGGCGAGAAGTTGTATCGTATTGGAGCTCGAAAGTTGAAAGTACACGGGTTTGCAGACGGTGAGATTGATCTGAAATCAGTTGTAGAAGTAGTGATGACACCGTTGACTGTCTGATCCATAGCTCTGTTGGTTCCCGGTAGAGGTGGGAAACTGTAGCGTTGGGGAGCGTCTAAGTCGAATGTACTCAAGCCGTAGGTGGATGTGTAAGTTGAGAAGTCGGCAGCCGTAGTACTGATGAAGTTGTTGGCCAAGTTTTCAGTAGTATTTGAGCTTCTTACTGGTACACTAGCTGTTGCAGATGTGCCTTGCACTCTAAGTGGGCTGTTAGACCTTGTGGAAACTGAACCATCGTTTGTTAAGACCTTTTCGTATTTTCTAACATTGATTAGTAGGTCGCACTTTCGTTTTTGTAGCGTTGAAGCAGTGTTGAGGCAGTCTTGTGCTTCCTGAGTAGAAAACGCGGCTAAGTCGTCTGCGAGCGTATCAAGCAGATCAAAACAAGTGGTTATCTCCTCAAAACTGAGTTTAACGTACTCGATTTCGCTTGAGTTGGCTATTTGCCTCGTTACTTCTTCCTCAAGCTCCTCGAAAGTACTGTAGCGGCGTCTCCATTGATTGAGTAGCTGTTGTAAGGTCGGCTTTGTTGGAGCCATTCAAGAAAGTAGTACAAAGAGTAGAAAATATGTATTAAAGTTTACGAGCTCGGATGGCAGCGATCGCAAAGTAGTTCCGGTAATGAAGCTTTTATTCTGAGCTTTCTCAAGGTTTTTACTATAAGTTACGTTTAATTTTTTGTTAAAGTCAACCAGCCAGAGGGTTAACCCGGTGGTGAATTAAACAAAGTGAGCTACAGCTCACGCAGTTATGAGCTTTTTAATTATGGTTAAGGACTAAGCGGTGAAACTTTCTTCTTTTTTTTAAGAGTTCAAATGAGTTAAAAAATTTTGAGACTTTCAAAATTTTTGTAAAACTTTTGTAGATGTGGCTAGTAAAACCTTTTTTAGATATGGGTTTAAAGAAAACGTTTCGGAAAAATAGGCTTTTGAAAATTCGCAGCAGCTAGTTTTGGGCTAGAAAGTTTTGGCTATCGGGTTTTGGCTATCAGTATTTTTTTTGTATAAGTGGGAACCTTGTTTTTTTTTGTGTTTAGGTACTACCTTAGTACCCCGAGGATTAAAATCAAATTGACCAATTCAGCACTAAGATTTCACATTGGAGGTTGTAGATTTCGTAAAAAAAACTGTACGAAAGCTTAGCACAATTAAAAAATCTAGCACAGTGTGGGTTTTGGCTGACAAGTACAAGCACAATGATTTATGATTGAGGGGGAGATTTACTGAAAATTTTATTCAGGCCTGTTTTTTTCAGTTTTTGGTCTAGAAGTTTTGTAGATTGACTATAGTTTTCAAGCATAATCACAAAATGGATGTGAAAAAAAATGTTTTTGAAATGGATCTAGCCTGACTTGGCACTTGAGGTAGACCGGCACTTGGGCTCTGACTATGGCACTTTTGGTAGACCGGCACTTGGGCTCTGACTATGGTACTTGGTAGACCGGCACTTGGGCTCTGACTATGGCACTTGGTAGACCGGCACTTGGGCTCTGACTATGGCACTTTTGGTAGATTGGCACTTGGGCTCTGACTATGGCACTTGAGGTAGAACCGCTGGTTGGGTCCTGGGCTGCGCCTTGAAGTTGAGGGGGGGCTGAGTTGTCCCTGTTGACTTACTGTAGACTTCGATATCTTTTTCAATTTTGGTCGCCAAATATTTAAGACAATTTGTTGAACATATCTTAAAAGTCACTTTGTTGAAGTCAAATTTATTACTCATTAGTTCGGAACAAATCATGCTATTATTAAAAGATTTTACCGCATTTTTCTTTAATTCATGTGAGACAATTCATGTCATGAATAAACTGAAAACTTCCTTAAAAGGTGTGTTTACCCGTCAGCCCCCCAAACAATTTGCTAACATATAAATTTACATCCAGCAACTTGAAACAACCGGAATACATAGTTTCCGGAAAGAAAACTCACAGAAATAAATTGTCAAGCTATGAAACTAACAGAATGAACAAACTAAGCAAACGAAAAAAAAACAAGTTATTTTCACAAGACACTAATTGGCTTTGGATGAATGTGAAGTCATGATTCATTGATGAGTCAAAAGTGAACGAACATCATTACTAGACTGTTACCTTCAACTCCGGCTGAGTAGCTCTATCAGACTGCGCAGTAGTACGCTCATTCTATAAAGAATTATGACCCTTCGGATTCAAAAACATCACTATTTCTTAAAATAATTTACGTTTAAATTCAAAAAGGACAAATATAGACGGCATACTTAAAAGTAAAGAGAAAACTTTTGCAATGATAGCCGGTTGTTGTGCAAGTAGCGCACAATGTTTCGACTTCGACCATATTCATAAAAAATAAAAACTTCGAATAAATGTTGTTCAAATTAATGTAGTTTTTACAGCGCGATGTGATTTGAAAACTATACGATCGCGTAGAAAATAGTGAATTAGGCATAATCGACAATATTTGTCAATAAAAAAAATTCCAAACAAAAAAAATTATTTGAAAAATAATTTTAATTTTTTTCCTATTTTTTTGCGCAAAATTTTAAAAAATTTTTAGAAAAACTTTCTCGCCAAGGAAGCACTAAATTATACATTCAAAACTAGTTTGTTTTTTAGTAAAATTAAATGCTTTTAACCTAAAAGTCTAAATAAAAGCGATTTTTCATACAACAACCGCTGAACTAAAAATAAAATATCTAAACCAGTTTTTCTCGACACTGGGACACCTTTAAAAAACTTTTAAATGTCGTTCAAATCACAATTAAAAGTGCTTCATTTTGGTTTATCACTCGACCCATTCCGACGATTTTTAGGGCAACCGATTTTGAGGAAAACAAAAAACCCATCCGAATACAATGTTCCTTCCCATTTTCAATGGCCGAAACGAAAAGGGGGGTTGTTGGTGTGGCCGGGTCGAGATAGTGCACCCATTCCGAACTACATTAGAGCGGTTTAATTAAAAATTTCAAAAAAAACTGCTTATCGTCCAAAAAAATGATTTGACTTAAGTAATATTGATTTCAAGACGGTTTGCGATCAGCATTTTTAGGCGGTTTAGTGGTTAGTTTTTGTCTAAATAGCCAACAGACGGGAAGACTTTCGACCTCAAAACAAATCGACTGAAAACTCTAACCGCTAAAAAGTCAAAACGTAAAAAAAGATGAGCATGAATATATTTGAAGATTTTTTCCTCGAAAAACAAGGAAGGAAAAGCAATTGCTCGGCTTCAACCAATTGAAACAAAGTTTGTCCACATCCTAGATGAGCATAGGCTATCTTGTAAAATTTTGCATGGTCGCCCATTTCGAAGTACTCAAAAAATTTCCTTCAATTACGAGGCCAAACTGTACATTCTGTGCAATGTAAGCGGATTCCGCAACAAGCCATAATCAGATTTATCGCGGAATCCGAAAGATTGCTACTTTTCTTTCATCCTCTTTACTGTTTTGGATTCCACAAACAAATACCTAAAACATTGTACCGCTCAAAATTGCTTCAAAAATAGGAGAAATTGCGGAACCCGCGACCATATTTGTGGAAGATAGAACAGTAAGACATGCGCATAGTTAAATTGAGCTGTTGCTGAATCCGAAACTATTAGCGGAATCC